CTTCTTAACCGCTGGTCGTGTTCGTTACACTATGATTGTATTATGCGTATTGTTATATAAAACACAAGAAAAATGACTAAGTGCCTTTTGCATATTGTAAAAAAAAATACAACGAATGCAAGTAATTTTAAAAGAGATTCTTTAAAGAAACTTAGTGACTTTCTTTACGGCTAGGGTACACAGATCATAAGAAAAGCGCAAGTCTAAGGCTCAACTCACACTGGTGCAGAGTCGAAGCGTCGCGACGCGTCATGTTTTTCGCCTATAGCATATTCATGCCTATTTTCCCATTATTAAAGTACAAATTTGTGTCATGCAACTCTGAAGTCGCGCCGGCGCGTTGTAGTTGAAAAACAGGACTCGACGCGACGCTTCGACTCTGCGCAAGTGTGAGTCGAGCTTTAGTGCAAAAGAAAATACCAGAATCTGCCCCACCAATAAGATCTGTGTGTAATGTACTTATGTACATTACTTGAAACATTTCAGGAAATTCTTTTTTTGACCAAGTAAAAGTACTTTCAATATACCTTCTACAAACAAAGTGTATTGCAACTGCAAATACACAAAATATACAAAAGACATGAAAGTTTCCATGAGGTACAAGTGGTTCATCAAGTACAAAGATAAAACTTTTCAATCTTTTTTTTGTGATAGCAGTTGCAGTGCACTTCAGTGCTTTAAATCGCAAAGATCTAACGAGTATTGCCACTACGCCTGTCACTTGAGACATAACTTGACAAGTTGTAATGTATTACTGCTCACATTGCTGCTTGCCAGCAGAAAAAAAAAGAAAAAAAAGAAATAGGTATGGCGGCGGTTCAATACATGAACTGTTTCATAATGAGCTCTACTGCTACCATAAACTCTGGTGTAACGGTCTACGGTGATTGTGGTATTATCATTTATAAGTTTTAAAATATTACTCCAAATTTTTTTTTCTCAGGCTGAATCATTGTCTTATAATACGTTGTATTAATGTCAAATAATTATCTAAATGGATACTGTATTGAAATAATTAATAGATTCAGACGCTACTTGGAGGAAATCCATTTGATTGTTCGCATGAAAAAGTATTCAACACAAGCGCGGTTATTTCAACAATTTACTCTTCACTGGGTTCGCGGAGTAAGTGTTTTGCTTTCATTTTTAATGTTTATAATATGATTGTCCTCTAAGTACTGGGAAAACAGTATACTATTTAGAGATTTGGTGGAGTAATTTCACAAAAAATAATTAAATATCAATTCAATAAAAATTTAAAAGTATACTATTTAATATCATATAGAATAAAGATGATTATAAGAAACATATGGTAATTCTGATCTAAAAAAGTATAAAATTCTAGCGTCGGCAGACTAAAGCACATAAGTCAAAATCCAACATCATTTATTGAAATTAATACACCTACTGGTTAAAGCTTAAAAAACAACTCAAGAATATATTTTGAAACCTCATTAACATGCAATTATTTACTTCATCGAACAGCGTGAGTAATTTTCAGTTTAGACTTCTGTACGTAATTTCGGTGGCAATTTTTATTATTTGAATATTCTAAAATATTATCAAGCAGTATTATTTAATATTCGAGTGTAGTATCCTGAAATATTATTTAATAGTTATATTGCCACTAAAATTAGGCAAAGAACACAAAATTACGCTGACAGTCTGCACTTACAATTTGTTCAATAAGGTGTGTACATAAATATTAGGGGTTAAAGTATGAAATTGCCGTTTTATTGC